ACTCTCACTCTCTCACTCTCTCACTCACTGCCTCACTCTCATTCACTGACTCACTCTCTCATTCACTCACTGTCTCACTCACTCACTCTCATTCACTCACTCACTCACTCACTCACTCTCACTCACTCACTCACTCATTCACTCACTCACTCTCATTTACTGACTCACTCTCTCACTGACTCATTCACTCACTCACTCTCTCACCCTCTAATTCTCTCACTCTCACTCACCAAAAACAAACAAAAAAAGAGGAAAAAAAAGAGTAAAATTCATCAAATTCGAAGGGGAAGCCTTATCTACCTTTTATCTTAGAAACAACAACAACAAACAAAGAAGGGAGCGAGGGAGACTGCGGGGAAGGAAAAGGAAGTAAGGAAAAGAAGTAAGAGGAAGGGAGGGAGGAAAAGGAAGACAGGAGGAAATGAGAAAGTTTGGATAAGTGGAGAGAGAGAGAGATGATAGGTTGGTAGAGAATGATAGATAAGATGGATGATGAGGGATGAACGGGTGGATGGGTGGACAGATGGTAGATAAAACAGGTGATAGCGCTAGACAATAGATAAGATAGACAGGTGGCTGAAAAAGAGATGCCCAATAAGATAGGTAATAGATAAGATGGATGGATAGCAAATGAAAGAATAGGTGATAGATAATACAGACAGATAACACAAATGCCTCGTAGGAAGGTAGAAAGGGTAATGCTTCATTGCTTTAGCAGACCATGAAGTAAAATTGAAAAAAATTCAAAGTATCTCATCACCCAGACTTAAAAAAAATCATTGGGGGGTTGGAGGGGCGGAAATTGGGGTACCAACACTCACTTGGTAGGTCCTGGCTGGACTAGGATTCTCCATGGGGACTTTGAGGGCCAGAGACTGAGGGGTCTCCACTTCGGTCACACTCCCCTGCTTCTTCTTCTCCGGTAGGAAGACCACCGGGGTCAGAGTGGGGGGCCTCTTCATCTTAAGAGTCTTTCCTGAGAAAGCCAGCGGAGCGGAAAAGACACGGGAATACGTGATTGGCTGGTGAAACACGCTCCCATGGGAACCTCAGCCAATGGCAAGGTAGAGCCTGACTGATTGGCTGTTACGGAGATGAGGAAAGAGACGGATCATCTAGGCCTGCGATGATTGGTTGATCCAGGTGTCCCATGGGCTGGAGCCCGCCCAGATGGCCTAGTCCCCGGCCCTCACTCACCGGGAAGGTGGCACAGGCAGCAGACGCACAGGACCAGAAGTGCCACGAGGAGCGCCAGGCCCAGTAGGGAGCCTAGAACGATGCCAGCGATGGCCCAGGGACCCAGGTTGGGACCTAGAAGGGAGGAAAGGGGGAGCCAGGAGTGCACCCAAGTTTCCTAAGCTTTAGGTTCCTCTCCCTTCCGTCACCAAGGACAGCGGACCTCCTGTCCCTCCTCGCCCATGATGCTGGAATCTGGGTTGCTCAGGCGCCTGGCCCTTTGCTAGGTGCTGGGGGCCCAAAGGTGGGCAAAAGCAGCAAGATATCTATTCTCCCGGGCATTCATACCAGACAGGAAGTCAGGCAGGTAACTGAGCAGATTGATTACAAAGTTGCAGAGTGCTGAGAAAGGGGGAATGTGCTATGATAGAATCAGAGCGGAGGTAATGCTGGGAAAGGGTGGTGAGGAAAATGTCCTAAGTACTACGGATTGAATCGTGTCCCCTCAAAACGTGGTTGTTGGGCGCTATCGAGTCTGCCCTGACGCAGTTTGTAATACGAAGCACTGCCCGGGCCAGCGCCATCCTCACAAGTCACAATTGTTCCTGGGTCCGAGCCCAGCGACACAGCCGCGGTGTCAAATCCATCTTGTGGAAGGCCCTCCGCTTTCCCGCGGTCCCTCTGCTTGACCAAGCATGACCTCCCCGCCCTCCTCCTCCTGGGACGGGTCCCTCCTGACAATGTGTCCAGAGTACGTGAGATGGAGTCTCGTCATCCTTGCTCTCAGGAGCATTCTGGTTGTAATTCTTGCAAGACAGGCCTGTTGGCTCCTTGGCAGTCGGTGGTACGTTCAGGATTCTTCCACCAGCACCAGGATTCAAATGCGCCCATTCTTCTTAAGCCTTCCTTATTCAGTGTCCAACTTTCACATGCATAGGAGGCCATTGGAAATACCAGGGCTCGATTCAGGCACACCTTAGTCTTCATCCTTGCTTGTCCACCCTTTAAAGAGGTCCTATGCAGCACATCTGTCTGCCCCAGTGCTCTGGACTGCTGCTCCCGGGAGCATTGATTGTGGATCCCAGCAAGACTAGATCCTTGACAACTTCAAACTTGTCTCCATGGCCCCATGATACATCCTAACCTCAACACCCACCGATAGGAGCCTCAGTGGCATCATGGGCTACACATGCAGCTTACTAACTGCAAGGTCAGCTGTTCAAATCTACCAGCTGCCCCTCGAGAGAAAGATGAGGCTGTCTGCTCTCATAACCACGAGGTAAAGCCTTGGAAACCCACAGGCCGGGCCGACCTGCCCTGTCCCAGAGGCCCGCTGTGAGTTGGAATGGGCTGGATGGCCGTGAGTTTGGTGATGGTTAAAGTTATCTGTCTGAGGCTTGGACACTCTGCTTCCTAAAGGTCCGGCCTTGGAAAGGCCTGCGGAACACAGTTCTCCCTCTTCTCAGGCGGGTCACCATGAGCCAAGGTCAAGGGGACAGTAACCAGCCCACAACAGCAGAGCCATGACAGGGCATGAGATCACACAGAAGAGAAACACAACAAACAAACAACCCCACTGCCAAGTGTCCAAGGAACCATCAGACTCAGAGGGGCCCTGTAAGGACGGAGTAGAACTGTCCCTGGAGGCAGATGGCTTCCTCTCTCCCCTACAGAGTGAGTGGGTATGAATCCCCCACCTTCCTCCTGTTAGCAGCTACTGATGCTCCTGCTGAAGAGAGAAACAGGTGGAAAAAGAGGTATGAACACCAAGCCTCAAGGTTGGGAGAGGAGGGGCCACCAAGGAAAACAGACCCAGACAGAGTGGTTTGCTGGAGGGCCAAGGGTCTGGTGGGGTGGGCTGGGAATGGGGAGCCGCCTGCCCACTGCCCCAGCTTACCTGCCTGGTAAACCCGGCTCTGGGAAGGCATCCCCGACTGGCCTGCCAGCTTGGGCAGGATGCGCAAGGCCCAGGTCCCAGGGCTGCGAGGGGGCAGGGGCAGCACTGCCGAGCGTTCCTGAGGCCCCAGGATGAGCAAGGAGACCCACTTCGTGTAGGTGGTGGCCCTTCCCAGGTCAGGACCCTCTGATCGCGCCTGGATCTCAAAGCTACTGATGAGCGCGCCACGATCCACGTCCCAGGTCAGCACAGCCCCGTCTCGGGCTCTCTGCAGCATCCACGAGGAGATGGAGGGTCCTGGGAGAGGGATGGGCCTGGGAGTCAGGACTTCAGGGTCTGAGGGAGGAGGGCCGGGCGTCAGGACTCCTGGTCTGAGGGAGGAGGGCTGGG